TTTTTTTTTTGAAGCAGTCATTGCTTCTTTTTTTTCGATGTTTTTCTTATCTTATCTTTCTACGATGAAATAAATAAAAAATAACTATAAACAATTTCCTTTTATTTCCATCATTTTAGATTCTCCATACCACTGGACTCGAATTTCAAGAGGCTATTTTAAAGGTAGTGACCTCAACAACACATATACTTTACATACAAACAATGATTAAGTTTCTTATCTATTGTAAAGTGCCGTATGTGGGTACCAGCTTCGAAATTCATATCTTATCGAAATAGCATGAAAGTATGGGGAAAAGTTTTTTTAAAAGGCACACATCTTTCTTCTCTTCAGTATTTTATATTCCCGATCTGGGGATCAAAACAAAAGCAGGATTTTTGTTGATGTTAATAGATCCCTGTTTTGACTCGCAGGTAGGGATTTAGAGCAGTTTTCATATGACTGTGAAAAGCTCACGGCACAAACACGGTCGTGACACAGAAAGGGATACGCCAGACCAATCACATTGCGCGAGACTTTATTCAGCATCCAATCAAATACCCGGAACATGACATGAACACGGCGCGGACACCGTCACCGCCAAGGTTCTGGCACTGCCATACCAATCACATGGTGCGAGAAAACACTCAGCCAATTGAAACTTTAGAGAACATCACGGTCAAGGCAAGGCACGCATACGACACTGAGCACTGTCATACGAAAAATTTCCTTGTGCACCGGGGGATACCGTTTCGTGAAAATGTCGATCCAGTACTATGACGGGATAGCGCGCCCCCTGATTGGTTAATATGTCACTAATTGCAATTTTATGTTCTCAGGCTGTTGATCTTAATGCAGTTATTGCAGTGCATCGTGCTCATGTTGACAAAGTATTTGATCGCTGTCTTCTTAGCCAAAAGGTATAAATGGATGGGATTGCTGATAGTTATGTTAGGTGCTTGACGTACTATACAGATGATCATTCAGGGCCCGGTTGTACGAAGGGTGGATAGCGCTATCCGACGGATAAATCTTATCCAGTGGATAAATGTTGTATTGGATAACAGCATCAACTTATCCACTGGAAAAGAATTTATCAGCCGGATAGCGCCATCCACCTTTCGTACAACCGGGCCTTGATACATTATATTATGTTATATTTTAAAACCATCACTCCCCGTAAGGGTCTCTTCCGTGAGGTTTGCACCCCCACCACTACATTCACTATTTGCAATACACAACACTAACGAGGAAAACCGGAGAACCCGGTAGAAAACCCTGGTGTCAAGGAAGAGAACAATATCAAACAAACTGAACTCCCAAATGTGGTTCGGTCGAGAATGGAGCCCACGATCCCTCAGCCATCAACTGTACAGCGGTGAGATACCAACCATGCGCATACCATCCGTGTCATTCATTCATCCATCCGTCCGTCCGTCCGTCTGTCCATCCATCCATCTACCCATCCATTTATTTTTTCACTTATTAGTAATGTTATTTTTATTTTATAGATTGGTTTTGTCAGGGAAGCAATAACAAAAGTACTTAACTTGGCCCTGTTGTTCCAGGCCAAGTGGGATGCAAGTGTGGCAGAATTCAAGTTAGTTTATAACATTTTACAATATTGACCTAACTAGTCGCGTTCGCGAGCACCTAAGTTATCAAGACCCTTATGAAATGTCAATCGTCTTCGCTTGCTTGCTTAGATCTCACGCCCCAATAATAATAAGACCTAAATCCGATTCACTCCAGGCTCTTCAATGAGATTCGCCTCACACGCACTACCACTACATTCACTCATCTTGATTCTTACGGAAATTAGGAGGGAGAAAAACTGGAGAACTTGGAAGAAAATCCTTGTGGCAAGGGAGAAACAACACACCAAACAAATTATATTTACTTATGTGTTTCAGCTTTGTGTCGTTCGTGAGAAGAGGGTGTTGCTTGTTATTAATTCTTTACTCTGTTTCGAGGGTTTGAAAGATTATCTGGTTTTCCTCTCAGAAATCAACTTTAAAATTCCAATTGAAAAAAGTGCCCCTCAGTCTTAACACTTCTCAATCCTATTATTATTTTTTTATTATTCATTACTGATTTATAATCTATTTTCAGCAAAGACGCGTATGATAAGATTGATACAGAGTTTTCTAAATGCAACCATTTTGTCATCACATTTCTCGGCAACATCGTCAAGAGAGGTGCATTTCCACATCGTAAGTACCCATCCAATGTTTGTTGTCTCATTCACAGAAAAGAAGAAACAACAATTAGGGATGGAAAAATGAACCCTCACTTAAAACTGACCTTGTAGCGCTGTCTTTTTATTTATTTATTTATTTATTTATTTATTTATT